CATCCCAGTATTTTTTCGTGGTAGTGCACTGGATTTATCAGCTTCCAACAAAGCGAGTATCACGCCTACGCATTCGGATGCGGCCGAAGCTGGTATGGCCTAATTTTAGATCACCAGTTTTTACACATTGTGGATGATTGCTGGTCTCAAGCAACATCTGTTTAATTACAGCTGATTTGGAAATAACGGAGAAGCATCCGCGAGCGGTTCATCATGCTCATTTTTCAGATTTCTTGATTCATGGTATCTAAAATTTGTCCATAACTTCTAAAATTTAGATTATTTTAGTAATTAGACACATTATACCGTGACGTTGCAACGTTTTGACACATTTTAATAGTGATTGAAAAAAACCAATTAAAATTATTTCAGATTTGGATAGTGCACGCAATTTTCAATATGAATTGCCCAAGAGTTTCCCATTTTAGTACTTCAAAACGCCTTGGTGAATGGTTATGTTGTTTGACGTTAGAACAGCCGATCACCAAATAGTTTTGAAGAACTGAAATTATAAATTATTGATGAATTCCTGGTGGAAATTGCATTTACTTTAAAAATCTGGCAAACATATATATAGCTATCTTTAATTTTTGTTTATGCAGTACACAAACCGAGAAAAAATAAAAGTAAAAACTTGAAAGGATGTCGATAGTTATTTTTATCCTCAGTTGACAATAGTATCAATATTTTATATGTTTTTAAAAAGCCAATAATTTGTGATGAAAAAATCGAAGTCACAGAAAGAGTTTATAAACATTAAATGCTTCAACATTTCAATTAAACTTTGAATCTTGAAAACTACTTATTACCCAGATGCATAAAAATTTCTCCTTATCCGAAATATTGGAGAGATCTTAAAAATCCCAGAACAGCGCTGCCGGTGGTGCAGTGGTATGCCTGGCTGCCTCTCAATCTAGAGGCCTGGGTTCAATCCCAGTCAGCACCGCGGGGATTTTCTGAGTAAAGCCGTTGGTCCCCGGCCCATGAGTTGATGGGTCGATAGGTAGGGTCCAAGTGTGGAAGCTGCCTCTCTGGCGTCGGTAGCATTAGTACTCAGTACGGGAAATAACATCGATGGAAAACAAATCCATGAAAAAAATCCCAAAATTTTATAGATTTTTCTTAGTCTAGGATTATGAAGCATGTCTTCTTTTTTCTTTTATTTAACGTCGGTCTCTGTTCCGCAATCTAGTGCCAATCACCGACGGACATCGATTGCCATCCATTGATGGAAATCGAATGTGCAGGAAGGCAGCTTCCACACCTGCGTAAGATATCGCACCCATTCAACACAACACATGGGCTGGGACCAACGGCTTTACTTCCCTTCCGAAGGAAAACGTGACCAGAGATTTTATGCCTCAGAAAAATCCCACCGACCTTGGCTGGGATTGAACCCAGACCCATTGGGGTGAAAAAGCAGTCACGCTTACCACTACACCACTGGCGCCGGCTTCTAAGGATGTGATCTCCCTAAATTCTGGAAATCTCGGAATTAAAAAAAAATCACAGCCTGGATACTGATTTTGTTTTACTCTAATCAGAATTTCCTCAAAATTAATGATGAAACTCTATCTGCTAATCCCTTTCAAAAATCTATGGGATATGAGCAGTTTCCACGCCAAATGACGAATTTGAATAGCTTAACCTTCTTCGATTTGCATGAAATTTTGCATAAGTGTTTGATATGGGCAGTGGTTCATATATTTTCTAAAATTCGACCTTGTTCAAAAAGGCATTATTTAAATTTTTCAAAAAAAAAATTATTAAATTAAAATACATAAATTTGCTCTTGGATTTCACACTGCAATTGCATCGAAGGTTTCATAATTTATGCAGAATTATCAACGATTTCTCCTCAGCATGTTCTATGTATTCGCATTAAACTCATATTATAATTATCCTCCTAATTCGTTTTGATTTCTGCTATGATATTTATGCGAAACAATCCTAATAACTCCCTTGGAAGATTCCTCGGAAAATCATTTGGAATAGTCCTCTTCTAAGAATTACTTTGAAATACGTCTTGAAACTATCTTGGAATTGTCCTCAGGATTCCCTTGGAGTTCTACTCAGAACATACAGGCAGCTCATTTTAGATTTCATTTCATTCCCTACTTTAAAAATAATCTTGGAATTTTTTGTAAGAGCTCGCTTGACATTTTTCCAAGTGTTTCATGGAAATTCTCCTCAGATTTTTTTGTTTACTCTCCTTAAAACTCATCTGAAATTGTCCTAACAGTCTCAAAGAATTCTAAGTATCGTGGAGCTATGCTTCAAATTCTAATTGAATCCATAGACGAACTTGCCCAAGGGTCAAGGCTGAAAGCCCATTAAGCAAAGAAAACTAGACTAACTAAAACTAGTCTATGAGTGTTCACTCGGCTGTCGACAGAAGCAGGCCACTCTCAATGTGTGTCACTCAATTGTCTGTTAACTCGGCCGCAACAATTGTGTGGTCTTACGCATTGTTCTTCATCAGCTGTTCTTGCGGTCGATGCATCGTCGACTTCGGAAAGCAACCGTTTCGTCATGGTTATGAGTGATTACCACGTTTTGCGTCCATTGCCATGCAATGGAAGCGCTCTGCCCCCCCCCCCCCCCTCTGGCGATACTGCCATATAATTAAACCACTGATGGAGAAAGCTTATTGGACATCAGAAGATAATGTGGTGTTTATAATGCTGTAACTTTTGACTTTAGTTTTACGATGTTCTGTATAGTGAACAAGCTATGAAAAGTTAATTCTTTTGTGGCTCATTATATAAATTAATAAACTAAAAAATAAACAAAATAAACAAAACTTCTCTCAGAATTCTAGTGGAATGAATTCATTTAAAAGTATCCTCAGAAATCGATTGGAATTTTTCTCATAATTTATTAGGAGCTATATCTTTAAAAAAATCCAGTTAATTCTTTTCTCAGTTTCCAATAAATATTATCAGAAAATTCAAAATAAGAATGCAGCAATCTCTTCGAGATCTATTCAGAACTACAAACGAATTGTCTTAAGAAAGAACATAAAGTTTTCACCAAAATTCTTTTAGACTTCTAGTTAGAATTCCAATGGGAAAAAAGTTCATGAATTCTAATGTAATTCTCCTTAGGAGAATTTGCCATTTGCCATGAAGGTCATCATAAATATCTAAGCAATCTTCAGATTTCAATTGTACTTTTAAAACTCCTCAAAAATACCTTGGAATCTTTGTTTGAACTCAAATGGAGAATTCTTCTCAGATTTTTTACGGTATAAACCTTAGTACTCTCTAGGAATTCACATCTAAATTCTTGGGATTGTAGTGTTAGAAACTTAAAATTGAAAACAGCTGTGTCTTTGAAAAACTTTTGTAAAGGCAGACATACAAGTATCCCTGTTTTTGGATAAATTGCTGCGATCTTGGAAAATATTTTTCAAAATTCTTTAATTTTGCGAAAAAATTTCAAGATACAAAACAATAATTTTCAAAACAAGAATGGCAAGAGATTTTAGGCCTACCGTTAATTTCGCCCAACGAACATATTTGTGGCTTATGAGAATACTTGAGCACTTGAAAAAAATATTTGAATTTCTACAATTTCTACAGCACACAGTAGGTTGATCCCCGCTTCATGAGTTGATGGGTCGATAGGTAGGATCCAGATGTGGGAGCTACCTCGCTAGCGTCAGTAGCATTGGTGCTTAGCACGAAAAACAAAATCAACGGAAAACAAATCAAGGAAATCTGGCCTAATCGCCCATTTTGGGCCTATCGAGCAGAAAACTTCAAATAAATCCATGATTTCAGAGTTAACAAGTCAATTATGCATTTGGTACGATACTTTAGTTCATAAGCTACCGAACGAAGTCAATGAGAACGCGTGATATGAAGGTTTGCACCCATTGTTCCCAAAAATAAAAGAAGCGTTCCGACCGAATCAATTTTTATCTTCATCCGATAGGCCGAAGTGAATTCATTGCCGTTTCAATGGCGTTGCAATACGTTAGGCCGAGTTTAAAATCCGTAGGCCGAGTTTGGTGCTAAACTGCGCTAGACTAAGAAAGACTGAGTGCGGGTTGTTCTTAATACGCCGGAAATGGGGTAGTTAACCCTAGTTAACCATTTATGTAACGAAATTTCAATTAAATGTAAAAAAAAAAAGCATAAATCGACAAAATTGCAGTTTATGCCAAATTAAGATCAAAACGTCTCGTTGGATATGCTACGTGACGAAAAAAGAAAATAATTTTGATGTGTGCATGATCGAAGTTTTTATTAAGCTGTTGATCAAAAAATTGACATCCGGAAGAATTGTTTAAAAAAAACATAATTAGGAATGCACGAGGCAACACTAGAGCTATGTAGGGCGTTCAAGCGATCAATAAGTGTTTAGGATGTAACTTTTCGAGCAATTATAAAATGAATACTAAATTCAGAGACTCCGAGATTGTTACAAAATGGCTGCATATTTTTATGTATAGGTCTCGATGAGTTGAATAATAAAAATTGCCTGTAACAAAGAATTGTCTATAAAAAAAATAACGAAATTATTTTAACAGTACCGTCAAGTAGCCAATCACCGAGGGTGCTCCATTCACTGGGTTTTTAAACACTTTTGCGAAAAAGTGTGAAACACCACATTTATGCCAGACACGAACAAAAGAGAACACTTTTGTTCATGTCCGGCATATATGTTGTGTTTTGCACTATTTCGAAAGAGTGATAGAACTTACTAATTGAAATCACGATGAATGGAGCACGCAAGGTGACTGGTTACTGGACGATATTTTCCAACTGTAAATTCAAATCACAAACTTTCAAATATTTAAGACCATCAAAATTGACTAAGAAGGCGGAGTTTGTAAAATCTCATACCCCATAGCTCAAATGCAAAAAAAAAAAATCGTCACTTTTCTACAGTAGCATCTTTCTTCTCGAATGAGAAGAAACCGTTTTTCGAAGTATCCACTCTCACAAGTCACTGCCGAGTTAAGCCCCGAATCGAATGCGATATATCCTTACAGCTTGGATCCAACACTTGCAACACCTTCAACCAGGGACACCTCCCCCGTGCGTAGTTCGATAAAACACCAAAAACCGGAGGCGGATTACGGAATACTGTACTTCTCGACTCAACCGCGGTCACAAAGGAACTGAATTACAAACGATTCGATTAGCTAAATTGTGCCCCATCTGCCTCGTAGGACCGAGACTTGACCAAGAAAACCGAGCTCGGATGGGTGATAACAGGACCGACGACGCGTACATTTACTACCCTGTCTACTGTCAACTTGGTTGAATTTGTGGCTGACAAAACATTTCGGTTAAATTATGATCCAACATCCATCCAAGTTGAATCTGTTACACTACCTTTGTTTGTGCGCAATGTTAGGCCGTAAATTGAAAGAGTGGAAAATAAACCTGCCACTTTTTGGACACGTGTGACCCTGATTTCACCCCACAGTGCACTCATGAATACACGAGAACTGTAGAATATTTGGTTTTAGATTCAGTTACGTCGCCACTTATATCCAACATCGTCATAACCCTATTACAAAAGCAGCGAAACCTGCTACAAATATCCTCGAAACGAAACGAACCACATTTTTCCCCGTGCCCTCCCAACCATCGTACATAACCCAATTGATTCAGTATGTGCAATTCCATATTTGTTAAACTGATCTTGCTTATCTGCTTTCTTGTTCAGATCTTCCATTGGCCTCTGACTGCATTGTCCGGGCAGGCAGTCGGCGCACCTCCACATTGAGAAGGAAAACGTTTCGGAAATTGTTCTCGCCTCATCCATTGCCGTCGTCTTCGTTGTCGTCGTCGTCTTCGTCTTCGTGCCGAGAGAGAGAGAGAGAGAGAGAGAGAGAGAGAGAGAGAGAGAGAGAGAGAGAGAGAGAGAGAGAGAGAGAGAGAGAGAGAGAGAGAGAGAGAGAGAGAGAGAGAGAGAGAGCTTTATCATTGTCGTTGACGGTAAATGGTGATAAAAATAAATTTTATTAGTTTACCCAACATCAACACTTACCTACTACTGTGATGAACTTTCCAGTGACTTCGGCCGAATAAACTCTGGATTCCGTCAGTGCACGCACACGTGATCGGACGAATTGTTCGCTTCACAATTTAAATAAATTTGCGAATAATGCTGTTTAATTTCATGCAAAAGTAACGGGTCTGTTAAAAATAAAACCTAAGAGCTGTCGTCTGAGGGCACAAGTTTATATTTATCTACTTCCTTGTGGTGTACGGTAGGCCATCGTTTATATTTTGATGGAGATGAACTAGCCAGTTGGCTAAAAATCTCCTTAATAAAGCTTTGACCTTGGCTTGAAAATAAACATACTAAAAGTTGAAGTCCGTACGTTGACGTTTAGTGGTCCCCCGCCGGACCTAATGAAAGTGTAGTATGGGTGACCCCTACGCAGTAGGCCAGCACGCTACTGTAGTGTATTCTCCATAATGTGCTGATTAACCAAAATTGGTGTAATCCGATCAAGTTTGTGTCAGATATTTATGAGCCAATGTTAATCAGCACCGAAAAGCTGTTTACATCATGCTAATAACCATGAGTATGCGAACGACAGGCTCAACCAGCACGTGAATCAGCACAAGTTTTAACACCCCATAATCAACAATAAACCACTTGTTGGTTACGGTCCTACAATTCGGCTGACGTCAGTTTGGTAACATTTTGTGGATTTTTTTTCCTTGATCTTGTTTTCCGTCGATCTTGTTTTCCGTCAGTCTTGTTTTCCCACACCTGGACCCTACACCTATCGATCCACCAGCCGGGGACCAACGGCTTAACTTCCCTTCCGAAGGAAGCCGTGATCAGCGATGTTATGCCTCAGAACATCCCGGTGGCGCCGACTGCGATTGAACCCAGGCCTGCTGGAGTGAGAGGTAATCACGCTTACCACTACACCACCACCGCCACTAACATTTTGTGGATGAAACCCGATTGATTTGGGACATGAGATGTTACTAATTGCATAAAGGGCCGTTCTTAAGCAACGTATTGAGTTTTTGAGAGGGTCTAGACCGCGTATACAATCGTCTAAATTTCAATGATTAAATGATTTTTTTTTTCGTGTTCTGTCTACGCTTTTGATTATACAAGCAAGCATTTTATTTATGACATTGTAAAACGACGCACTCACTTGTAACAATTTTCTCCAATTCACGTTCATCAGAAAAGCATAAGAAATCGAGTTATTGTATACCATGAGCGCTTCTTATTCGCTTTAGTCTATCCATATTCCGAAGCAGAGAGAGAAAGAGAGCAGTGAAGAAAGCACAGGTCAAAATCGCAACGTTCGTGGTTCGAATTCAGTCAGCATAATTTTTTTATTTATTTTTTGACGTAGGACTGGGGGTCACAATAAAACAAATTAAATTCAGACATGTAATGAAAAATCCCAAACACGGACGCAATGAAAGAGTGCAAATCGAACAAACGACACATTGCGCATTCTCACATTGCTCACATGAGCAAGCTCAATGCTCGGTTGATCGCTCACACGGCGAATGAGAACGACTCAAATTTGAGTTTAGTTCACTCATAATTGCCAAAAGTGCAGGAACTCAGCGATGAGTAAATTTGTCTCATGGTTTTTCTGTGGAAAACCTAAAAAATCTGCCGGAAAATGAGGAAATTGACGAAAATTTTAGTCAGTCTCTTAGTAGTAAAATTTTAGAAAATGAGAAATAAGCATTAACATTTTATGAAGTATTAGTTGTAAAATATTATGCTCGATGTTTCATTTGCTCAAATTCTTCTAATCAAAACAGATTTCAACTTTATCTAATCATCTGGCAGATTAAAAGGATGTTGAATTCACTAGCTGTTGCTCGAACCCATATACCTAAGTGTACTCAGTATTTTTTTGTGAAAAACTTTGGGATGGTTTAATCTGTATTTCTCTATTCTCTATATATGTTCACATGTTTTATCGACTTTATTGTATTTTGTCATAACACATAACTTTTATTTGGATGTTTAGTAGAATCGCGTATAATATTCTTTATTTCTGATATTACGCTAGTCAAATTTCAAAATATCCAGTTGACTGTTCGACTCACAAACTGCAATCAATCGGCTTGTGGGCTGTTAAAACGGCTTGTTAAGCGATTCGATAAACAATAAAATAAATAATTAATCATAATACCTGTCACCATGTGATATGGTTAATTAAATAATTAGAATGAAACACTAACTTTCCTTCTAACGAGTAATCAGAAATCAGATCATCTGAATATTAGAAGTCCGTTCAAAATTAACGAAGATAATAAAATCAAAAGTGAAGAATTGGTATTTGGTTAGGTGCTCGTACGTACTCAAAAGAAAGAAAGGATTACTTATGCATATTAAAAATACAATCCAGAGTTCAATTATTTGAAAAATCGGAAAAATCTTTTTTTTTCTTTTTTTTTCATTATTATAGTGATGTTTAGCCATATGGCTAGTTCATCTCTTATCGGAAAAATCTGAATATTAAAAATTATATGTAATCTATCAGATAACTGTATCAACATTTTGAGAAAAAAAAAATGTACCATTACAGATATATCTGTATACGTGGCATCACTGAGATGACGGCAAAAACACCGACATCAACCGGAGGAAAATCTTCCCGCAATACGCAGCATGACTAGGCCGCCGTCATCCGGTAGGCATCGACTTGCACTATTTGCACTGTGGCCACTATTTGTAAAACAACCGGCCACCAATTCAAAACCGGAAAGAGTTAAGAACTAAATGATCAACATATTTGTTCCGTCCACTAGCGGTCCTACGTCAAGCTTCCGTTCTTGCCCCTAGGCACAGACCCTTCTACTTTTTCGACATAATTCCTTTCGCTCACTAATACCAACAATCAATACGAAACTAACGATTTTAAATTGGCTCACTACACTGAAACAAATCGACATGTACCGTTTATTGGATCCATCTTATAACATGGCAATGTCAGGAGATTTATTCATTCTATGTGATGATTGATAGATTCCAATGGATTATCACTTAAAAACTATGACTGCGATATGGAATGATTTCTATCGTAATTTCACATACTAAGTACTTGATAATACTTTGCTTCGAACGTGGTTAGCGATAGGTAAGATGTATATGAATATTGTCTGATATATTTCATGGTGAAAAACTGTTGATATGTCATGGGTGGGAACAGGCATCTAGAAACTAATGGAAAATCATATAAGTTTGCACTATGAGCAAATCGAGTAAAATGTACCTGTTTTCATGATGAATATTGCTCACTAAAAGATATATCATATAAGATAATCATGTATATTTTATTGGAGTTGCTTTTAACGATTTTTGACGTTTGTTGATATGTCGCGTGTAAACAGACATGTAGAAACTATTGGACTGTCATTTAACTTTGCAGTATAGGAAAACAATAGCTTCCTTTGATTTTTGAGGTTTGAATATTGTAAAAAGATCTATCCCAATCATTAAATAGTCATATAGATTTGCCTTTTAAGAAATCCAACAGCAAACATTTGTTTTGGTATGTTTTTCTGGGATGAACATCGCTCCCAATAAAATACATCTTACATAATTGTTCTTTATAAATTATTGAAACAATTTTCAACTATGTTATCGTACACTCATTATAATGATTAGTTGAACTAAATATTGCTAACAACAATGATACTGTAATAAATAATCATTGTTTGTTATTGTTTCATAAGATAAGGGGTTCAGGAAAAGAATGTTTTGAGATTGAAAAAAAATGATTCTACTGCAATATTTATTTGCTAAGATTCTAATTGTAAGCCTTCTACACGGCTAATTCAGATTCCAGCACTAGTACTCGAACTTCATGAACCAGTTCCATGAACTCATATAATGTAGTCGTTGTTTGATTGCACACAGGAGCATTAATAATGATTTGAATACACGACACCACTGAAACGGAGCATATATTGGTCAGTGCTATTTTTCTTCACTCTAGCAAAACGAGCATTACGTTGCTCTATATTCCATGTTGGGAGAGCTGTTATTACTTCATGCTAATTGAACGAGCTCAATATTGAAGTCAGCCGTGGCCCAATGGAATCGAGCGCAGACACGAAAAGCATCACAGCTCAACAGTTCTGGATCGAATCCCAAATCAGCTACAATAAAAAAAAACA